AAGGCCAGCCACCAAGTAAAGCAGTCAAGATTGAGATGTAATTGGTTGTAGTAGTGCACACCTATAATCCCAGCACTTGAGAGGCTGAGGCAGGAGGATTGCCATACTGAGCCTGAACTATATAGCAAGACCCTGTCTCCAACAAAAAAACAAAAAAAAGAAAAAAGAGAGAAAGAGAGATTTAGCTGAGGGCAGCTCTCCAGTTGGTGTTTCATGCTTTGTTTTATTACTTTTTTTGGTACCTGGGATTAGAACTCAAATCCTTGTGCTTGTAAAGCAGGCCACCAAACTGCTGAGCTAAATCCCTGGCCCTGTTTGTTGTTGTTTTTGACAAATTTCAACTAGCTGCTTCTACAACTGAGCCTCACTACCATGACTGCCTTTGCCAACCATTTGGTTTCTTTCTTCTTCTTCTTCTTTTTTTTTTTTTGGTGCCAGGGATCAAACTCAGGTCCTTGTGCTTGTAAGGCAGTCAGTGGAATCACTGAGCTAAATCCCTAGCCTAAGCAATTATCCATTTGAAGGAACAATTTTTCCACATCCACAGGAAAACACTTTTCACATAAATGTCAGCCACAGCAGGCCTATTTGCCAAAATTAACCAAGTGACCAATTTATAAATTATAAGAACTTTGTAAAAACTATTTTTAGGTGTGGTAGTGGGGATTGAACCCCAGGGCCCACATAAACTAGGCAATCATTCTACCACTGAGCTAAATCCCTCAAATTTTTTTTTTTTTTTTTTTTTTTTTGGTACCAGGGATTGAACTTGGGACCTTTCCTTTATGAGGCAGGCAGTGGAACCATGGAGCTAAATCCCTGGCCCTCCTCCAACTTCTTTTAAATTTTTTTTTTTTTTTTTTTTTTTTGGTACCAGGGATTGAACTTGGGACCTTGCCTTTATGAGGCAGGCAGTGGAACCATGGAGCTAAATCCCTGGCCCTCCTCCAACTTCTTTTAAATTTTTTTTTTTAAGTTTTAAGACAAGGCCTTGCTAAACTGTCTGGGCTGATCTCACAGCCAGGCTCCTACCACAGCCTCCTGAGTAGCTGAGATTACAGATATATGCTACTGCATCCACTTTCTTTTAAGAGGAGGCTGGGACTGGGGCTGGGAAATTAGCTCAGTGATTCCAGAGCCTGCCTCACAAGTTCAAGGACCCGAGTTTGATCCGAGGTACCAAAAAAACATGAGATAGCTGTTCTTTATTGGATTGGATTATTTTAACTGCCTTAAAGACCTTGAAATTTAACTTTTTCGATAAGAGATGAAAGGTATAATTGATATGTCACTGAGGAATTTGAAAAAATAAAAAGTGTATAACAAAATAAAAAATGACATTTTAAGTGGCTGTGGGTGTAGCTCAATGATAGAACTCTTGCCTAGCACCTGAGAGGTCTTAGATTTGATGCCCAGCACCAAAAGAAAAAAAAAGCTGGGCATGGTGGCACATGCCCATAGTCTCAGCACTGAGGAGGCTGAGGCAGGATCATTGTTGGGGGGAGTTCAAGGTCAGCCTGAGCTACGTAGTCACAGTCGGCCTGAACTACATATGGAAATCCTGTCTCAAAAACATTTTGTTTTCAAATTACCTAAAATTCAATGGAGATATTTTGGTGTCCAACAAGGGATGATTAGGATGTTGATTTGTGGCGATTTGAACGAATGTTTATCATAAGAGAATAAAACCATTCAAAACCACAGATGAGAAATGAAAATGGCTCGGAGGGGTTACTATGAAATATCTTATGGCCCTGGCTCAGATTTGATATGCATTAGCCAGGAATATGTTTGTGGAGGACCAAACCGAAACAGAGTAAACATACTAAAAAAGGAAAAGTAAGAAATTTACTAGGAAGCAGTAGGAGCAACTATCATAACACAAATACATTTTGCTAGAAGTAGCACATAAAGTGGTATGCAAATGAAGAAACTGGTAAACAGCTGGGCGTGGTGGCGCACGCCTGTAATCCCAGCACTCGGAAGGCTGAGGCAGGAGGATCGCTGTGAGTTCGAGGCCAGCCTGGGCTACATAGTGAGTTCATGCCCTACATAGCAGGACCCTGTTTTAAAAAAACAAAAACCAACCAAACAAAAAACAACTGCATTGAGATATAACTGACAGTCAACTACCCACATTTAACTTGTAAACAATACATGATCACATATACAAATAATTTTTTAAATGTTGCCATGAAAATAAAAAATTGCAAATGAAAAATTCCCAGAAATCTTCAAAATCTGCCAAAAACAGTCTCTACAATGGTAGCAACTGGAAATTTTATGAAGAGGTAAAAGAACCACCATATTTTTGAGAGTTGGTAACAAGTTTCCTTCCCACTTTGCCCTTATGAGCAGTCTGAGGCTGGCAGGAGCTGAGGGCTCTCTTTGACAAGCATAGTTTCTCTATCCTCTACTGACAGAGGATGCTAGGGTCAGGGTGATGGGCAGCTTCACTGGCCAGAAGAGGTGATGGTGGTCTCTGCACAGACCCAAATTCTTGTACCTTTGGATAAGGGGGAAAAAGGCAGAGTTAAGCCAGGTGTGGTGGCGCATGCCTGTAATCCCAGCACTTGGGAGGCTGAGGCAGGAGGATCGATGTGAGTTCGAGACCAGCCTGGGCTACATAGTGAATTCTGGGTCAGTCTCAACTAAGTAGTGAGACCCTGTCTCAAAAAAATAATAATAAATAAATAAAAATTCAGAATTAAAACAGAAGAATCAACAGACATTGATGTCACAGAGCTAAGATCTTCCAAAGGAGTCATGAGTTGCTCTTCCATAAAGAAAACCAACCAAGATGTTAGATCATAGACTCTGGTCATTCAGTTCCTAAATATTTGAATGCATGCTCTGTAGGCACTGTTCTAGATGCTGAGGATACAGCATCAAACAAGGCAAACACTTATATTCTGGAAAGAAAACAATGAATAATTAGATATATACAGTCATGTGCTAGTGAATGCTTAACAATCAGTTCTTGAAACAAAACCTTGATTTGCGACCTTTGACAATTTCAGTGATATAAACACTTTCCATCACGGCTGTTTCCCAATGACCAGTGTGACACCATGACATACACAGTCAGGAAAGAGATGGGCTAGCTTGAGTCTGGTGAGAGCACCGCTGGATATTTACCTAACTTTCTCCTCAAAGTTTCAGTATAAACAGAGAAAGCAATGGTAAAACTCCATAGAAGTGCTGGGCATAGCTGCGGACACCTGTAATTCCAGCATTCAGGAGGCTGAAGCAGGAGGATTGTTGTGAGTTCAAGGCCACCCCAGGCTTGGATGAACTACATAGCAAAGTCCCGTCTCTCTCTTTCTCTCTCTCTTTCACACACACACACACACACACACACACACACACACACACACACACACTACCATATAAGAAAGTCAACAGAGGTGAGTCATGGTGACAAGTGCCTGTAGTACCAGCTCCTCAGGAATTTGAGGCAGGAGGTTCTCTTAAGGCTAGGAGTTTGGAGATAGCTTGGGCAAAACAGTGAGATCCCTACTGAAGCAGAGAGAAGAAAGAAAAAGCATCATTCATAATCTAGAGATGGATAAAAGGTCAAGAAATACAGTTCTTAGAACTTACACTGAACACCAAGACTGCCACTGCCATTAACAAGTCTGACTGCCACCCCATATACAGAACAGTGAAGCCTCTCTAGGTCTATCCTCTTAACCATGAAATGGAGTAGAACTTGTGTCTTCCCTAGGGGAGTTATTTTAAATGAGGTAGTGGATACATATTAAAGTCTTGAGCGGGTGGGAGTGGTGGGGAAAGCCTCCCATATCTTCAAATTTCAGTGCACCGAGGGACTCAGCCCATGGTTTAGGTTCAAGGACAAGGGCTGAGGAAAAGCCAGAAAAACAAAATTGACACTACAGATGCTGGATGAGAATGGCTCAATTTGGGCTCAAGCCAACGTTTTGAGGAGGAACTCTCAATTGAGATCTAGAGGTTTTAGGAGACGTTTGACATGTAAGATAAGGGTACAGGGTAGAGGGATGCAAGAGGATGATTGCCTCTTCGGAGGTGGGGGTACTGGGGGATCAAACTAGGGACCTTGAGCTTGTGAGGCAGAGGGCGGCACCACTGAGCTAAATCCCCGGGCTGATGGTCTCTTTTCTCATCCCCATTTTTAAGGTCTCGCTGTTAACTCCCGGGCAGGGTGAGGTTAAGCAGGAGCAGAGCTACGGTTAGAAGGAAAGTGAAGAAAAATCTGGTTACTAAATGAATATTGTATGTGGATCGCTGGGTACAGAAACGGAGTGGAGGGGGTACAAAAAGGACTCTTGTCAAGTATTGCCAGAGTCCAGCCAAACCAATTTTTTATCCCATGTGGAGAAATGGCCCGTGGTCTCGGGAGTTTTTGTTATCTTTAGTGTTTGTATCGTGGTACTGCCCGGCCCTTTCTACATTTTGAGACAAGGTAAATTGCTAAATTGTCCAGCTTGGCTCGAATTGCAATACTCCTGCCTCAGCCTCCCAAAGTACTGCGATTACAGGCTTCTGTCAACACGCCCGGGTCCGGTAAAAACTTCACAGAGGGAAAACAAACAAACAAACACCTCAAGCCTCCAACCCTCAAAGATTCCCAGCCCAAGGCGAGAATGCGTCTGCGCGCAGAACTTTGAGCGCGGGCCCTCGCCAGAGTTCAGGCAGAACCACTAGATGAAAATATGTAGGGGAGAACAATCTCTTGTTTTCTTTATAGAGGCATTATTTGGACAAGGAAAAAACATTTTCTTTTTATTTTCACTGTATTTTATACGGTAGTGATTACCATAGTCACACATGAGCTCTCTGTCACACAGGACCAATCTCTCCTACTCTCATCTTCCCCGCTTACCCCTCCGTTGTTTTAGTTTTCGACCTGCCCTACTAGTCTCAGCCAACCCGGTCTAGAAGTCGCGTAGACGTCATGAGTTTCTACGAGGATCAGGCAGAGTCCCCCAGCAGGAGCGCCCCCGCCTGGCGGTGCCGGCCAAACGGTCTGAGCGCGTGGCTGGCAGCGGGCGGAGGAGCGACTGACGTCCGGTGGTGTCCGGAGAAGCAGGACAGGGGACAGGCGTTCGGCCTTTGCTCAGGAGGGCTTAGGGTCTGTTTGGTTTGCCCGGGTTCATGGCGATTTCTTCCCTTGCTTTCCTGTCGCGTCTGTGGAGGTCCAGCGCAGGGTCGGGTTCGTAAGCTCACAATAAGTGAAGTGAGGAGTACTTGCTGGAGAGTTGTTTTTGTTTTCCTGGTACGGGGGAATCAAACTCGGTACCTTGCTCATTGGAGGCAGGCGGCGGAACCACTCAGTTAAGTCCCCGGCCTCCTCTTCTCTCCCCCCCACCCGCCTTCCAGACAGGGTCTCCTTAAGTAGTCCAGGCTGGCCTTGAATTTGGAGATCTTCCTGCCTCAGCTCCCATGTGCTGGGATTACAGGCAGGCACCACCGCTCCCAGCTCTACATATTTTTATATGTTTTTGGTTTTTTTGTTTGTTTTGTTTTTTGAGACAGGGTCTCACTATGTAGTTGAGACTGACCTGGGATTCACTATGTAGTCCAGGGTGCTCTCGAATTCATAGCGATCCTCCTGCCTCAGCCTCCCCAGTGCTGAGATTACAGGCGTGAGCCTTTTATATGTTTTCAATACCATCCTCCTTCAAAAGGCCTCATGGCCACATGCCTTCTCCCACATGCCTTCTCCCATCTAGACGGAAGCTTTTTCCTAGGCAAGAATTGGCCTTAGGTCCTGCATCCAAGCGGTGCGCAGAGCTCTTCGTACAAGTATTTGCACATATAGTATCACTTTCTCTCAGTTGTAGTGGCTGGACACTTTAGGCCCTTGGAATCTATCAGAAAGGCCCCTACCCAGGTGGCTCGCACAGTCTTACAGGGGAAGAGACACCAATGACAGGCCTAATAACTAAGCATGAGTGTGTACAAGGTGATGAGCAAAGAAAACAGCATAGATTGAAGGTGTAGGCACTGATGGTTGAACAAAAGCTTCCCAGGGTAGGTCTCACTGCAGAGATAATTGAACTGGGTGATGTTAGGGGAGTGAGTCCCAGGCAGAGGGAAGAGACAGTGAGAAGGGTAGGATGTGATTCCTTTTTATAAACTATAAGAAATTCTTGAATATAAATAGAAGGCGAGAACCCCAGACTTGTACATGAAGTCTAGTACAGGTACCCAAGAATCAGTGTTTGTCTCCTGGTCACCGTGACCTGCCCTTCTGCAGCCCACCCTGTAGGGGCGGCTGGCCCGGAAGAGCTAGACTTTCAGTTTAATCCTTCAGTTTAGGGTGTAGTCTACAGAATAAGGCAAAGGAATTTTTTAAAATTTAAAAATAATTTCCCCGTACGATGCTACTTTCTTTCTCCTTAACAAAATACAAAATCTCAGGTTTCAGAATCTAATCGTAACTTGCCTCTACAAGGATGAAAGATCAGAGCTGTGGGGATAGTGGGGAAGGGTATGAAACAAAGTAGAACGAAGTGTGTCAGTACGTAGTATGAAAACAAGTAGGACTTCCATTCAGCCCACCCAGCCCCTAAGGTCTTTCTTATACCTATTTATGAGCATAGATAGTTACTCATAGCAACTACAAGGAAAAGCGAACCCTTTGGTTAATAGTGATCAGAGGTGGGAAATCTTTGTTTCAGCTAAGACTAAGAGCAGATCATAGATGTAAGATAAATTCACAGCAAGGTCACCTTTGTTGAAGGTAATGTCAGCAAGCAAGGAGAGATTGGTAGGAGGTCTCAGATTGGTAGGAGGGAAATTGTTTGTGACACTGTGGCCCATTACAGTACAAGTAGTCTGGATTCAAGGAAAGTACAGCAACAGCGAAGGACTAAGCGTTGGCCTCTGGTCAGAATGCCTAGGTTTACATCATGACTTTGTCCCTCCCCATCGAACCCAGGACCTTCACACTAAGCTACATCCCCTGCCCTTTAATGAAAAAAATTAAAAACAAAAAAAAAAATTGGGGGGGTGGGCGGGTACCAGGAATTGAACTCAGGGCTTTGCGTTCGTCGGCAAGTGCTGTGCTGCTGAGCTACATTCCTGGCAATTAAAATTTTGAGACAGTGTTTCCTTAGAGTCACAAAGCTGCTCAGGCTGGGCTGGGATTTGTTGTCCTGCCTCAGCCTCCCAGGGTACTGCGAGTACAGGTGTGCACCACCACATTAGGCTTTGGCTTTGGCTTTTAGTTGTGTAATCAGAGGCAAGCAAGGTTCTCTTTCTTAGCCTCTATCTTCTCATCTGTAAAATTAGGGATAATCATAGGCTTAGTATGAGATAATGAAAATAAAGCATACGGTTCAATGCCTGGAATACAGTGTGTGTTTACTAAATGTTAGAAATTGTTAGGTAAGATGATTGAGAATGGGCTATTGAAATAGGATAGGCTTCAAGTTAATTTGGATTGTACAGTATGCAAAGTTACATGATTAATATTTTATTTTATTTTTGAGGGGGGTACTGGGGATCGAACTTGGGACCTTGTGCTGTGAGGCAGGCAGCAGAACCACTGAGCTAAATCCCCAGCCCTTTAGTATTTTAAAATATTATACAGCGTGAGCTTGGGATAATATATAACTCATTGGTAGAGTACTTGCCTAGCACATACAAATCCCTAGGTTCAATCCCCAGCACCAAAAAAACCCAAACCCAAACAAAAAAACCACCAAAACACACACACACACACACACACACACACATCCCAGCCAAATGAATGTTACATATATCCTTTGGTAGTGGGAAAGCCATTTTCTACACTTTCCATGCTACTTCCAAAATAATATTAGATATGAAGAAGTGATATCATCTAAATCTTACATAAGGTGTGAAAAAATATTTACAATTTTTTTGTTTGTTTTTTGAGATGGGGTCTCACTATGTAGTTGAGGCTGGCCTCAAACTTGAGGTAATCCTCCTGCCTCAGCCTCTGGAGGGCTGGAATTACAGGCATGCACCACCATACCTGCCTAGAACATTGTTATTTTATTGATATACTTGGACCTAACTCATTCAATCCTCACTTATTTCCTCCTCCCTCTTGCTATTATCACACTTAGCCCAGAGTATTATTTTTTTTACATTGTTTCCCCACCAAATTTCTAAGAATTTCTGTCATGGGACAAAACTATCTTCTACATCTTTCAAAAAGCTTGGCCTGTTGTAGTTGTTCAATAATTGTTTGCAAAAAAGAAATAATTGCCGAAAGAATGTATGAATATTAAGCAGTCCCACTCTGGGCTCTTGTGTTTTTTCCAACAGAGTTGTTACTTAACACTGGTGTTTTGAAATCTCCTTCAGAATCTGGGTACTTTATTTAAATATTTTCAGTGATAACAGATTTCCAAGGAAAGGGATTAACTCAGAGCTAAGCTTAGCAAATAAAGTGACTGAATAATATCAATTTTATTCAAAGAGTAGTAGGATAATTTAGCTAGGCGTAGTGATGAATGCTTGTAATCCCATCTAGTTGGGAGACTGAGGAAAATTGCAAGTTCACACCCAGCCTGGGCAACCTAATAAGACCTAATAAGTCTCAAAATAAAAATTAAAGAATTTGGGATGTAGTTTAGTGGTAGAGCACTTGCCACACATGTGTGAGACCCTGGGTTCATTCCTTAGTACCTCACTCCATAAAAAAGAAAGAAAACTTTATAAAGGCAGTTTTCTATTTTGTATAGTTTAAAAACCAGTTCTAAAGCACTTCCAAAAGAAAACTTGAATAATAGTCACCTCTGGAATAAGCTCTAATCCTCCTAAAGTGCTTATTTTGAAAGGTAACATTCACTTAGAAGTATACATTTTTGTTTTGGTTTTTGTTTGTTTTTTTGAGACTGGGTCTCACTATGTAGGTGAGACTGCCCTGGAACTCACTATGTAGCCCAGGCTGGACTCAAACTCACAGCAATCCTCCTGCCTCTGCCTCCCAAGTGCTAGGATTATAGGCCTGTGCCACCATGCCTGGCCAGAAGTATAAATTTTGATAAGCCTATTCTCTTATGCATGTATAAAGAAGATTAGAAAAAAATTTTCAGACTAGCATAGAAGTAAAATAGACCTATACAAAACCCAGTGTTTCAGGGACAAGGGGAAAAAATGAGAACCAAGACCTGTCATGTAAAGGTACAAGATCCCAATAATGTAATTGTACTGTATACCTAAAATGTACCAATAAACTAAAAAAAACAAAAAACAAAAAAACCCCCAGTGTTTGAAAATTCAAGTACAAAATTAGAGAGTAAAGTTTAATGCCTAGCAGCATCACAAGAAAAAAGCAAATATTCAGCGAAGAAATTACTTTGAATAGGTTTTTTTTTTTTTTTTCAGCAGTAGTAGAGATTGAATTTAGGGCCTTCACACTGAACTACATCCCTATCCCTTTTGAAAAATTTTAAATTTTGAAACAGGGTATCACTAAGTTCCCCAAGGTGGATTTGAACTTGAAATCCTCCTGCCTCAGCCTCCCAGAGCGCTGGGATTATAGGTATGCACTGTCATCCCAGCTCTAATGGGTTTTGAAAGGAAGCCAGGGATAGATTGGTGTTGAACAGAGAAGTAGAGACTTTTGGGGGCAGGGGGAGGTACCAGGGATCAAACTCAGGACCTTGCGCTTGCAAGGCAGGTAGTGGCACCACAGAGCTAAATCCCTGGCCCAAAAAGTAGAGACTTTTGACTTAACTCAGCCAGAGTAGTAATCCAAGGTTTGCTTGGTGAAAATGGAGGCAGAGTTAAAAAAAAAAAAAAAAAAAAAAAAAAAAAAAAAAAAAA